CACACATGTCTCATAAGAACACTGCTCATCATATTCTTAGATATTTGTCAGGAAGTATTGATCAAGGGCTATTCTACTCATCCAGCTCTAATTTCAATATCAGAGTCTACAGTGATTCAGAATGGGGATCATGTAAGTCATCAAGATATTCTTTAACAGGTTATTGCATCTTTATTGGAGATAGTTTAGTCAGCTGGAAAACTAAGAAACAGAACACCATATCTTGTTCCTCAGCAGAACTGAGTATAGAGCCTTGGCTATGGCAACCAGGGAGCTTCAATAGATTCTATATGTCTTGAAAGATTTCACCATCTCTCCCTCACTACCTGTTCCTTTCTACTGTGACAACAAGGCAGCCTTGGATATCACTGCAAACCCCATTTTTCATGAAAGAACAAAGCATATTGAGATAGACTGCCATGTTGTTCGTGATCAATACTAGTTTGGATTATTGCTTCCTTTACATGTATCTTCTTCTCTGCAGTTGGCAGACTTCTTCACTAAATCACTTCCAGCAGTTGTTTTCTCCTTCTTATTGTTCAAGATGAGTCTGTAGAGTGCTCATCTTGAGGAAGGGGTGAAGAATTATCACAAATCAACTCTGAAGAAGACTTCAGCTTCAACGATCGAACTTGTGTCCCCTGATGGAGTACAGGAGCACACAAGTAATCATGTGCAGCTGATCATGGCCAGATGAGTTGTCAAATTCTATCTGTTAAAGGCTTAAGCAACTAGTAAGAAGTTTCTTTAAGGTCCTGAATGTGTAAATAGGATAGATTATTCAGCAAGGTTTCATGTATTAAAGGAGACTATCGTTCTGTTTTGCAAGAAACGAAAAATATCAGAGTTGTGTTTTCTTTCTTTGTTGCTGGGAATACCATTTTCTTCTTCTTATCAATCCATATGATCATCAATCCATTGTTTAAGTTGCTGTTTTAAGAATGAGGATTGCGGAGGTTTTAAATAAATCACTAATTTTCATAATATATACAAGTAAGCCCTAAAATGATAGTAGAAATATACTAAAGCAGGAGTTGAGAAATTAGTAAAATATCATTTACTCAATAGAATAAGGAAATTGGATACTCATTTCTCAGTAAGACTTTAGAGAAAAGACAGGCAGTTTTGTTCCAAATTTTCAGATCGTTGCATGTGTACTAATTATCAGAGTATAAATGTTTGAAAGCGAATTCAATTTTGTAACATTTTCATTGCACTTTCTGAAGCAGAGATTAGCTTTCCCCTATCAGCAATTATCGGGTTCAAAGTTGCCTAAGAATGTACTACCAATTAACCAAAAATTCTTTAATTTTAATCTTGAAATAAATTCATTAAGTAGCCAAAAGAAAAAAAAAATCATTAAGTAGCCATTTGCTAACTGGACGACGAAAACGATTGGAAATTTCGATTAACTTGTAACTTCTAAACTCATTGAAACTTGTTAACAACGTGTTCAGTATAATTTAATCCATGCAAAAGATAAACTTAAGAGAATATAAAAGGGTGACAAAAAAGCCAACATTTTGTTCCTAATGTTGCCTAACTTATGTGAATTAAGAAAGACTAATAGATGCAAAAGACAGAAACGTGCTACTGATGTCCATTGTGGTCGGTTAATAATCACTCTCTCCGATCATATTTATAACACATAAGCCTAAATAATAATTTGTATTATTTTCAACACAAAATTTTAAATTTTAATATGAATTATTTTCTTAAACAGAAAGAATAGTATTTTTGTTTTCAATCTCTTGTGACCGATAAAGCTGTATTTCCAATTTGCCCTCCAATCCCCTTCGTTTCTTTCTGACGGAACAATGAAATTACTATTTTTATTGTTCAATGTATTTTTATTAAGCCACTAATGGACTAATTAACTGTCCACTTCTCAATTTCGACTTCCCGCCGGCTAGCTCTTATTCATATTATTAGCGTAAATCGATTGTCCACTTCTCAGCAGTTTTTTATTATACGTCACCCATAGTTTCTAAATGCAGCCAGCCATTTCTAAAAGGACAAATGCCCATTTCGGTCCCTAATGTTTAGGGGTAGGCCAATCTAGTCACCACAAATATTTTGTCTCCAATTTTAGTCCCTATAAAGTTTTTTCGTACCACTTTTGGTCTTTTTAACGGAATTTAGAGGAAACTAACCATTTTCCATTACATGCACAATATTATATTAATTTTTTTCTGATGGTGGGTCTCGCTAATTTTGACCAAGAAAAAGAAACATGATAAAAACTAATTTTGGTCTCCAAACTTTAGGAAGTCCAACAATTTTAGTCGCCATAAATTTTTATCTTATCATTTTTAGTCTTCGTAAATTTAATTCTTCAACTGCATTTACTCATTTTATTTTAATTTTAATTTTGTATTTATATTTTAATTTTTGTATCTTTCAAAAGGTTTTTAGGTTTGGTTTGAAAATTCAACATTCCTCCATTTGTAAATCTTAAAATTCATAAACCAAAATCAGTTATAGAATTGGATGAAAAATGGGTCATGGCAAAAGAGTATGTCAAAAAAAAAAGAGAGAGAGAGAGAGAGAGAGAAAAAATTGTAATTATCACTTGTTTTTCTAAAATAATTTTTTAATAAGAATTATTTATAAGATTTTGGTTTATGAATCATTCTCCTCTGCAATGTAAATTGATTTTGGTTTATGAATTTTAAGATTTACAAATGGAAGAATGTTGAATTTTCAAACTAAATCTAAAAACCTATTGAAAGATACAAATATTAAAATATAAATTTAAAATTTAAATTAAAATAAAATGAGTAAATGAAGTTGAAGAATTAAATTTATGAGGAATAAAAATGATGAAATAAAAATTTGGGGTGACTAAAATCATTGGACTTCCTAAACTTTGCGGACCAAAATTGGTTCTTTTTATCATGTTTCTTTTTCTGGGTCAAAATTAGTGGGATCTACCGTCAGGAAAAAATTAATATAATATTGTGCGTGTAACGGAGAACGGTTAGTTTCTTCCAAATTCCGTTAAAAAGACCAAAAGTGGTTTATAAAAACTTTATGGGCACTAAAATTAGAGACAAAATGTTTGTGGTGATTGGGTTAAGCTACCCCAAAACATTAGGGACCAAAATGGACATTTGTCCTTTCTAAAATGTGAAAATTTCGGTTATATAGTGGAATATGACATAATCCAACTCTCTTTTTCAAAAAAAAAAAAAAGACATAATCCAACTCTTGCAAGTTTTTTTTAATGTTTATCTACATAACGTTTCTGTACTTTTACACTATATATTTATGCATAAAATGCTATCACGCTCGAACTATAGCTAGAATCTTATTTATTAATTTGTTAATTAATTTATACAATAATCTCTAGTCTCGATAGGAATCCTCTCAGAATCTTATATTCAAGAATATTACGTTAGGCTAGAAACAAGAAGAAAACGACATGAATTCGGCGACTTTTAAGCTTGTTGTCTACTTGATAATGCAGCTAATTTTATGATTGGATTAGGATCTACGTTATGCTTCATGACTTTGCAAAAATTTATATAAAGAAGAAAAGGGGAAAAGCACATTCCAAATGCAAATATATCAGCCAGAATGAAAACGTGCTTGTAACTTTTTCTTATTTCTTTTTTATCTTTATTTTTTGGAAGCCGTACGTTACTTCCTTTTTTTTAAAAGAAATTAGAAATTGCCTGAGAATCACCATGGTGGAATCATACAAGTACAAGTTTGTATATGAACTTCTCAATGAGACATGAAATAACGTGGAAATGCGAATATGATTTCCTTTTTATTAGTCTCTAAGGAAAAAGGGAAATTGTAAATTGAAAAAAAAAACTTAATAATTGACGTGACGCGCATTAAAATACAAAAAAAAAATGACATGAAAGGAGAAATTTCTTTCTTTTTTTTTTTTTTGGATCATCAACTCAAGAAATGTCAATGAATACAAGCAGTCACCATGGAAATATAGATAGCTCAATTACTGCATTTTCCTTTCCTTTTTCTTTTTTTCCAAAATTGTGGGGACTTACATTGGCTTCTGAGACGTTTCATTAGAGAAGACAAAGAGAATGAACATCGATCTTTTTCATTGTTGGTAGCAATATCATCAATTTCTCTTGGAAAATTCAAAATTCCACCATTTGTCTTTCATTGGAAGCTCCTTTGGGAAGTCTACTTGCTTCCCACATTTGTCTTGTCAACTGAAAAAGATAGCCCAATTAATTCTACCCAAAAGTCTAAAACAGATGATGGAACCACCTAACGGGCTACTGGGTAAACTCTAAGAGAAGAAGGTCTTGAAAATGAGGAAGAAAATCCCAACCTTCCTGGGTTCTGGCCCATATTTGTTCCAACAGTTCTTTTGATAATTATCCTATCTTTAATTTATTGTGCTGATGATGTGCATAGACTTTGGATTGAGTAATTGAATCAATATTCCAATCTAAAATGCATAATTCCTAGCTTGAAAAAATTTAAGCCATTTCACTATTAAAACATAACTAACTGATCCATCTTTCTCAAAATAAATTTTCATTTAAAATTTTAATTTTTCGTTATTGTACAATCATTTTTGAACAGAAGAAATGTAACGTAGCAATTGAGCCAAAAAAATCTCATCTGACTTTTTGTTACTCTCTACCTACAATTTTTTTCTTTCCTGGTACTGCAGAATAAACCAAAATAATCTATAATAGAAAAAAAAAATTGAAATAGAAAAAACCGGGTTATGTTTGCAACAAACATAACTATATTTAAAGTACACGTACCAATGTTGTCAACCCTCAAATTGAACTGTATCAGATGAAAGTTATGAACTGATGGGGAAAAAAAAAATCTAAGAAGTAAGAACTGCGAGATTTTAGTTTAAGGCAAAACGGGCTATGAGCATTTGTCTAGTTTTAGCTATCTAGTGTCTTAAGGTATCAAACTAGTCCAATTTGAACTTTGAAGTGAGCCAAATGATCTAGGTCGCAATTGTCAAAGTAGTCAAGTACATTTCTTACACATTCCTACTGATGAGGCCTTCTGTCCATGCTATTCCACCCCGAAGGAGGTTGAAAATCAATGTCAAATATTGATGTCATTGTCACTTTATGCCTAAATCTTGGCCAGTTGTGTTGCTGTTGGTTGCCCATGGTCTGTCCATGTGGCATTGCTGCAAAACAAAACAAGATAGAATGCAATAGATCAAGGACATGATCATGAACTAAGCCGCGAAAGCGAACAGCAGGGCTAATCAGCTTATTACCACTGCTTCTGCCTGATTTTGCCAAATGGGGTGGCACCAAATTCTTCTGCAATCTGATTGTATCGTAAAACATCAGAGTATTGTGGATCATGATTTCCTTTTTCATCGCTTCATCCGGAAGATGGAAACCGTATTTTTCAGTCCAGTTGCTCATCATCTGAGGTGTTGATGGGATGATCAGATTTTCAACATTCAGGTAACAAAGTGCCTGATGAGAAGTTATTCGGACATGTTCAAGGGACTGAGTTACTAGAGAAGCAAAAGGGATAACTTTGTAGGTCAAAAAGATGTTCAGAACGACAGAATCAAAGATCCAATACATAATACTCAACTGATTCCATTGCTATCAAAAGTTTCCTGCACATTCCTTTGCGCCGATGAATGTCGCTGGTTGCAATGAAGGGCATTTCAGCAAGACTTGTCCCATGAATTCTGCAAGGGAATGAAATAGTCAAGTTTCTAAGGAATTAAATTTAGTGCAATTGCATTGTATCAATTCAAAGTAGGATGCTGAAGATACCTTAAGGTTGCCACACAGATAATTTCTTCATTCTTTTCCAAGATAGCTGTATAGAAGCCCTTAAACTGCATTCTGGTGAAATTTGATCTGCAAAAAGGTTCACCAAACCACAATATCACAATTGTTTTTCCCTTGGTTTTTTGAATCCAAAACTGTACCATAACTAAATCGAAGACAATGTAGATTGTGTCTTTTGTTTGTAAGGTAAAAGAAAAGTGAAAAAAATACATGGCAATACTAGCTAGTGTGCCAAGTCTGATATGCTTATGTACATGCTGAGGTGTCAGGTGTGTTATATATGATAATTCTGTGATGAAATCAAAGCTAACTTACCCACAATTGTATACAATACTAGGGATGACATTGATTTTTGTGTGGCGGTCATCGATCGGCTTAAAGCAGTCCTCCAGCAATCCCAGTGCAACAGCAAGCTTGGAGTGGCACATGGTTCTTTTGTATGTGTCCTCGAAGTAAATGCCGGTATCATCGTCCATGCGATGAAGTAAACTCCAAGAGAAGCCTTCATCAAGCTCATTCTTCATCCCAACCAAGCTTTCTTCCAACTTATCATGGACCTGTTCAAAATTCTGATTTAGTATTTAAAGAACCTGTTAAAGAGAATGCCTTTTTTGTTTTTTTTTTCCCGTTCCAAACTGAAATGTAGTTTTGCAACAAGGTTTTTAGGGCTTAAAAAGCATTACCTCTTTGCACCTCCTCTCACAGAAGGGTGCACAGGGATTACTGTTGAGATCAATCATTTTCAAATCCATTCTTTGATGACAGTCCCAGTGATCTGTAAAACAGGTAAAAATGTGCACAGATTATGCTCCGCATACTATATTTCACTCAAAAGAGTCATGATTTTGGAAGTAAAAGCAGATGATGAAACAAACAAAAAAACATTAATCATCAATGAGATGTGAAATGTAGTAATTTGCATACATCTCTTTTCACATTGAGGGCATTCACATAAGCCTGCATTCTCGCGAGGAGGATCTCCACAGAATTTGCACACACAGTATGGACAATACCAAGATCCTCTAGGAACCACCTGAAATTGAGTTCTAAAATAAAGCACATGCTAATTCAATCCCACTAGATGAAATACTTAGAAATACATTGTAAACATGAAAACTTACCTCCAAACCAACACACTTGTGATGGTATGTGGAGTTGCATTTGTCGCAACACGTCAAGTTCCCTCCATCTGCACAAACCACGCACGCATCATCATACTCGTCGCTGCAACTGTCTTTAGTCTCGACGCCATTGAATTTGCGATGTCTTAGATTCTTTGGCATATTCCAAGCTTTCATCATGCAAGACAACAAGGAAATTTGATCTCTCGCGGTAACAATCAAGTCATACGGCTTATCAGATCGCCTCCCTCCATGACGAACAAAGCATTCTGCATCAAACAGCTTCTGGCAGCAGTTGCATAGAATTCCATCTCTTTTGATAATTCCTTCTTTAATGATCTTCTGGTCATACTCATCCATACAAAAAACATGTTCATCTTCCTCAATCGCCTTCGAATCCATAAGCCAAGACAATATGGTGGCTTTCTTCTGATCTTCTCCAGCCTCACCACTCTGATTTTTCTCCCTCCTAGCAGAATATTTCTTATTCCCATTGCCAAACTGATCATTTTCTGAATAACCCTCCTCGACATTGAAATTCCTACTCCTTCTAGACACGGATCGCCTCGTTCCTCCCAAGTTGATTCTTTCAACCTGTAAAGAACCAGGCTCAGCTTCTTCTTGAATCGAATCCAGCGTTTCATGACGCCGCCTCACTCGTGATGTGGAACCACTTGCAGAGCTCCCCTGGAATTCCGCTGAATCTCTGCTGCCTGATTGTCTGCGCAGCCTCTGGCTAGGCAATCTAGCAGTGTAATCTGGATCCTCATCACTGTCTGAACTACTTGAACTGGAGTTCCTTCTTCTCTGCTGATTCCTTCTTCTTAAATTTCCGGCCATGAACAACAATTAACACCAAAATCAGGACAGCTACTCGGTCCTAGGATTTTGGGCTGTAAGATTTTAGCTGCAAAGTTTTATGACAAATGAAAGCAAAATGTCAGTAAGGGAAATCAAAACCACAGCTTATATGGTAGAGTTGGATTATAACTATGAATGATGAGATCGGTTTGATTTCTTTCTATATAGTGATTATTCTCTTCATCATAGCTCATAAAAACTTGGGTTCATTCATGGAAAGATTAAGAACAAAAAATGTAACTGAAAAGATGGACAAATTCCGATATCTAGCTAGCTGGTACAAACTCATATATTTGTATACATGGTAAAATTTTGTGAAGGTATTTCTCATCGTGCAATCCTAGTGCACTCATGAATTTCTTTGGTTCGTGCATCAAATTTTGTATAATTAATGTACCTTTGTTATTCATTTCTGTTTCTCTGAATCAAATCCCTACATGACTATCTGATCTTCTTTTGTTAATGAACTAAAGTCTTTCTTCTTGAAATAAAATGAACTATATAGGGTTTGACATCTGTTACTCCCTTTCTACAAAAAAAAAAAAAAAAAAAAAGCCCACCCTACGAATTGTCCATAAAAAGACATTGAGACTTTTCGCACATTCTTGCCACCAAAAAAAAAAAAAAGATAGCCATTAGATTAGAGGACGAACAATTAACGGGGAAAAAGAAAATCACTAGACCACAATCATAATCAACACCAAAATTACGAAATTTGGTTAGTGTCATAATGAAATGGACCGGATTATGTAGATCTGGTGTCATGGTTTTACCATTTTAGTCACAAACAACGGCAAATTCAATTTTGATGTTCGGTTGGAACCACATTTTCGAGGACTCAAGATGACCTGCTAGTTGCATATATGGTTCTTTAATCTTTGAAAAAAGCATCCCATTAAGCCGCTCCTGATTTTCACAACAATCACAAAGAAATTACATTTTGCACAAATCATGCACTTTTAATTCTGGAAAATGTAACAAAGTTTGTCTAAGCAACGCCATAATCAGAAGTTTCAAGTTTAGTTAGTTAATAGTTAGTCACCATATTCTTTTAAATTTCCAAGAGACAAAGCCAATTTTTCAGAAGTCTATAGACTATAATTCATGTAGATTCCCAACAAAATGGGCATTATATTGGGGTAAAAAAACCAACATTATATTGGAATCCTCAAGCGATTCAAAGTTCAAACCAAGCTTCTCTACATTCTGAATTCTGAAACACAAGCACATTTTGCTTCTGTTTTCTTTCCTTCTTTTTTAAATAAATAAAATACCCAAGCTCAATAATTAAAGTAATGTATTAAGTTAATTCTGCCCAACAAAAGGAAGGTGCGTTCTGCGTGCTGGAATGAGAATAGAGGAATGGTAATCTCATTCCTAGTCAAAAAAAAAAAGAGCCAATTCATTAAAGGAATCTTCAGTTCCCTTTCCAATGTTTAGGAATGTTAGAGAATCATAATCATTTTCTTATTACAGTGTTCTTTTTTCCACAATATACGATGAGAATGAAAAAAGTAATATTTTTTCAATAAATTTAAAATTTTCATAACAACTTCAAAAAAAAAAAAAAAATCAAAACGGACAATATTTATTTCATGAATCACTTTATGAAAATCAATATAACTAGACATATCATAATTTTAAAATAATGTATCTATGAATTTTGGTTCATAGAACCATATAATTAGGATTCTTTTGAAGAGGTTAAAAAATTATATTGGGAATGCCCATATATGAGAACATATTGAAAATGATGGATGAAAAAAAAAAAAAAAAAAAAAGAAAGGGAGAAAGGGGCGTGAATATTTTGGCTGATGATAATAGTTTTTAACTTTTTATATTTAATTAATAATATTATAAACTTAGTAAAAATTAAATATATAAGATTTTTTGTCATTTACTATTTTACTGACCATTAGAATAATTGGAATCGTAATAATATTTTGAATTCATTCCCATTCCAATGCGCAGGATGCACAATTGCTAAAAGGGGGGAGGGAACACTTAGGGCTGGCAATTCGTATCAGGTCCGGGTTGGCGTGTCGGATTGGACCCGAATCCGAGTTTTACAACCCTAACCTGACCTGAAAATAATCAGATCACCCGTGACCCGACCTGGTAACCTGAAATTCAGGAAAAAACAAATTTAGAAAAAAAAAAAGGTTTGAATAATAGTCTAAAGTCTGAAAATTTAACCAAATCACAGATTACAAATCTTAAACTTCAAATTGCCAGATGGCAAATTACCACTTAAACTCCATATAACTAAATAACAACAACCTTGATCGGAATAACTAAATAACCAGCAATTCAACATTCATATTACAAAATAAATATAAGACAATAAGTGAGAGAGGGGAGCTTGAGTAATCGACCCAACATTCATATTCAACTTTTTCGTCAATTGGTTCCATTCCTGGTTTTCTACAAACAGACAAAAAATTTCAGTAATCGACCCAACTTCAGAACAAACAGAGAAGCACAAGATTAGAACTTAGAAGCAAAAAAAAATATAAATAATGTCAGAACCAAATTAACTAACTCAGTAACTCTGGACAAGGTGCATACTGTGGGTCGAATTTGAATGAATGACAAGATAATTAACAAAGCAGACAAATTCCACAAAATAGTTTTTAACCATAGGGGAATTAGTCTCTGTAACTATGATCGAATTTGAAAGAATAGCAGGATAGAAGTACAAGCTGCAGGTGATGAGATTAAATGGATAACAGGTTCATTAACAAACCGTAAACTTGAGCAAATCAACTAAAGATTAACTAAATCAACTAAAGATTAACATGCAGGGCTAAACTAAATCTTAGTTCTATCCCTTAAAAGTTAAAAGTTTCAAACCAGGCTCACTATACCAACTACGAATCCGACCCACAGTTAAGCTTTCTTTCTTTTCTTGAAATTTACAAATAAAATTCCAACCGATAAGGTGACTTTGGAGAGAGTGATAGAAAAAGAAGAAGAAGAAGAAGAAGAAGAACGAGGAGGAGGAGAGTGCGAAGAAGAAGAAGGAGGAGGAGGGTGAGACATACCTGATTCGATGACCTTGAGGAGCTAAATTGAAGCAACAGCGAGCTGCCGTTGATGCGAGGTTGATGATTGATGATAGGGAACACCGTGAAGATGACGCGAAGAAGGAGGAGGAGGAGACAGCCGTGAAGATGATGAATGATGAGCGGGGAACATCAATTTGTGAAGAACCGCAATTGGGGTAGACAGCGGGAGAGGTTTCAAGGGCGTATAAATGGCGGAGATCGGGATAATAGACTCTGCAAATTTTGATTTGTGATTTTGGGATTAAGAAAGGATCAAAGTGGAGGGGAATTGGCGGAAGTTTGGGGAGCTGAACTATAGCTAGGGATTGAAGAAAATCGGAGCCGCCGCCACCACGAGGAAAGAGAACGGAAACCCTAAAGAGAAATGGAAAATTTGTGCCGGATGAAGAATAAAGAGTATATATATGAGCTGAAATTAGGGTTGGGATAGCAGTGAAATTCCCAAATTACCCCTACAGTATACAAAATTTACATGTTCGCGGGTAACCCGGATAATTCGCCGGATTGACCCTAACCCGACCCGTATATTAAACGGGTCTAAATTTCCCACCCTAACCCGACCTGTTTAATATGCATGTCATGTTCGTGTCGGGTCATTTTGTGTCGGGTTCGTGTCAAAATTCCGAGTCGTGTCAGAGATTGCCAGCCCTAAGAACACTGTAGAAAAACCTTTGGATATGAGATATTTCCAAATTCCTTTATGGTTCTTTCTTTACTATCCATTTAGACAATTTTATTTCTCGGATAATATTAGACAAAAGTTTAGATTAACTCATAACAAGGGCTTGAACTTTTGCATCCCTATAATATTTTCAGATTCAATTTTCATTCTTATTATTTTCAAAGAGAAATATTTCATCCAAAATGTTTTTGTTTTTGTTCCGGAATCATCCAATGTAGTACTCCTAAATTAAGGCAAAGCCCAATATCTCCGTGTAAGGTTCTGAGTTCTGAGTTCTGACCATGTGCAATTTTTTTTTTATAATTATTTTCCCAAAAGTAAATAATTGATTTTTTTCGACGTTTCCTAATTTATCAATTTGCTCTAATGACAACTCTCTTTCAAATTTTCCCCACTTGATTAAAATCAATATAATTATTAAAAACTGAGTTAAAATTTTCGGCAAAAAAGTATGTTTTTTTTTCCAAACACCCTTTTTTTCACATACAGACTTTTTCGATACTATTTTTTTCCTTTTCCATAAAATCATATTTAAATCCGAAGAACAATAAAGTAATTCAAATCAACATTTAAAATATTTTTACATTTTAATAAAAAACCAGATTTTGTTAAGACACAGGGCCACAAAAAAATTAAAAATCTGAAAAAATTTAAAACTAAATAAACCTATCTACCATAAGCGGGGGACAACCTGTAATATGAAAAAAAAAAAACTAAATAAACCATAATTTTGGCTAGTATTGCTATTATTGGATTTCAAATGTCTTATAGAAAATGATGTCCAGAGTATAGTCTACAATTAATTACTCCATATAATTTCGGCTAAGGGTGACAACTTCATAGTTACACTTCAGTTTATGATTAACGTCAGGGATGGCCGCTGTAATTTATTCAACATTTAAAGGAGCGCTTTCTTTTTGGGTGGAAAATTTGAAATTTTTGGTTCCCATTTGGCGCCATTCCGTTACTTTTCAAGAGCAAATGAAGAAGATGAGCAGTGAGCAGATTTCCCAATATCTCAAATTTAGAGCTTCAAAATCCACCCATTTCTTTTTCTTTCATCATCTCAATTGTTGTTTCGTGAATTCAAAACCTATTTCGGCTCCTCGATTGATCTTTGGCAGAACAGGCAACGAATTTGAACACTGCCTTTCTGTTAGTGATCCCCTTTGACATTTTCCCACAAGAAACCCAAGGAACCATAAAAATCCTAACTTGGTGACCCCTTTTGGCAGATTCCGTCTTTGTAGAAAATGGGTTCTTCAGATTCATTGTCATTTCCTTCTGGTGTGTTTAAATTCTAGCCGGAAATGTTAATTGCTATATATTCTGCGTCAACTGTTTGATTAAATGCCTGTGTGATGAAAACTGTCTTTTATGCAGCACAAGCAGTTAATTGTTTCAAGTTTTTGCCTTTCTGGTTCTCATTTTCCAAAACTCTGATTGAGATGTTTTTGTTCTCAATAGAGCCCCCAGATGTTGCAAACTGGTTCTCGAGTTATGCTTACGAGTCACCTGCATTGGATAGTGCCGATGATTTCAAAGATTGGAGGTGTTCGGTAGTAGCAGAAACTGGAGATGGAAAAAAGGGTAAGAGGAAGGATTTTTCTGAATTCCCGGCAACAAGAAAGAGGGGAGTTTCGCTTGAAAAGACTACATTAAATGAAGTTATCACCTGGAAAAGCCTCATGGGACCTGGCAACTGCTCTAGTGAGGTTATTCCAAGATTTTTTTACCGCTGAAATTTCTGAACAGTGTTAATTTACAGTTTCCATTTCCCCTTGCATGTTATTAGCTCTCAGAATCGAACTTTACTGGCTATTGGGCGAGCATTAAGCAGTTCAAGTTTCTAGAAGAACATTATTTGTTTGTCTAACTCAGCTGTTATTTTATCTATGAAGTGATTTTTTAGTCTTACCTTGACTGTTGCAATATCTAATCAGCTGTCTAATATTATTCTTTCTACTCAGGTTCCGGAAAATGCTGATTCCCTCTCACAATTTTCAGGTACGGATGACTAGTCTAACCAATATTGATATGCTCAAAATGATCCTTACACCTCAGCATCGTGTAGTTGTTGTCTTCACATAGCTTTACTTTCTATATGTCTATCTTCATTGAAGTCCTTTCTATAAGTTCAACCACACACCTCGCAGCCTCCAGCTTTGGAGAATGATTATTTTTGTTTTCGGTATGTATCAGAGCCTCTGGATGTTAAGAACTGGTTCTCTAGTTACGTGTATGAATCTCCAGCTCTAGATACCTGCTGTGAGTTGAGGTCGCAGGATGGAGACAATCACGCTCCAAACTCCATTACACAAAAGAAAGAGGAACCAATTAACATCACAAAAGTAATTGAGCTGGGTGATTTTGGAGTTCAGAACTTTTCTTCAGATGAGCTCAACAGACATACCAATTCTCATGGAGAGAGAAAATCTCACCAGCACCATTTTGTTAAGGTAACCTGAAATTATACTTACTCTATGCTTCCTATTACTGTGGTTGATGGGCTGTATGATATTCAGATGATACAAGTACTTTTGTTGTCCAAGTACCTGCTTTAACATCTTGTTTGTTTACCTCTAGTAGTCTAGTATGACTTGACACACTAAATAATATGAGAATTCAATTTTAGATGAAAGCTCGACTTACCTCGTTTTACATTGCGTAGGTCTTCACCTTCTAATTCTGCAATTTCTAGCATTTAAGGCAAATTTTGGATTATGAATTTTTTTTTTGGTTATTGTACTTGTTTGCTTGAATGCTAATGTTGCTGATGGAAAATGATTGCCCAGCACTTGTTCACATTCACATTCGATAGCTGACAAAAACAATGTTGCATCAGTCTTCACATCGCATCGTTAGGTCTATTGAGCTTCTCAGTGCAAATTATGCATAATAGATTTTTGTTTAGGAGCAAAATTTGCAGATTTGATTTGGCCAATATCTTATGAGATTGTTTTGCATTATTGGACAATGTACCTTTCTGTACTAGAGGATACCTTGACAGCAAGAAAAATACAATATGTTTTACGAGTTTGTCCATGCTTATTCACAGGATAGCCAGAAGGGTCATAGAAACAAATACTTAGCTTTGCAAATTCTAGACAAGGAAAAATGTCCAGAAAATGGTATTGACTTTGGCAAAGATGTTGAGAAATCAAATAGTAGTGGCAGTTCTCCTGGCAACTTCAATACTAAGGTTGAGACGGAGCCTACCCACTTGTTATTTGACGTCACACGCATGTCAAGAAGCCAGGAGCAGACTTTACCTCGAAAATTATTTGAGCGTAGTGATCCTACAAATGAGATCTTTAAGCCGGAGGCTTTTGCAGGAGGCATGGACTCTATAGGGCATGCAGAAAATTTGAACTTGAAAATGGGTGATAAAGGACCATTAAATAAGGTAGCTGGTGGACACACCAATAAAGAAAACGATGGAAATGAGTGTGCAGAATCTGGCTTCATTTCGACTAGAAAGAGCAAACAAGCTGAAGGTGTGAATTCTTTCAGAAAGCCAATCGAGGATAAAGTTGACCATCCTACAAAGGAGAATAAGGAGGTTACAGATACAAGAAAGGTTCTGCTAGAAACCACCAACTTTCAGGTCCCGCAGGTGATAGGAATTACCGGGAAATGGAAGTGTCCTCAAAAGAGTAAACCTTACGTATGCCCTCCTTTAAAGCAGCTTAGACTTGAACAATGGGTTCGACGAGTATAATGCTGGCATCAATGTAACCGTCAAGAAAGCTGATTGAAGAACAGCCTGGTCTTTGGAAAAGCATTATGAACTAAAAGAAAGATATATCGTACTCTTGATCACTTTGTTGATCTAACAAAGCTTATGAGCCGGTCAGTTATATCGCGACCTGCCTCAAGCGAGATGATGGTAAACCCTTTGTAAAACACGAGGTTTTTCCGTTCTTAGCCTAATTTGCAGTTCAGCAACCTTGACAATAAAACGATGAAATTTCAGTATACAAATTGCAGAATCTGAAATCACAAATTGCAGTTGAAGATATTATCTGAATGAACCTATTGCTGGATTTAATGAGTGATTTTTTTTTATTTTTTATTTTTTTGAAAAATCACTAGAATGTTATTCATTCGAACCAGTTACATACACCCTAGGGCTTGCTTAGCTAACTGATCCACACCACTCGATCACTTCCTCTCTACTCACTTTACATATAGCACACTCTTTAAACATGGTTTTAGCCCTAAGGAAATCTCGACATATATCCCTAACTTGTGTTGGAGCATTGTCAAGTTCAAATTCAAAACTAACAAGCATACAACAATCTGTTTTAACTTGACACCTATGAACATGAAATGTTCCAGCTTCTTCTAGCTGCGCATAGAGGCATGCTAATGCTTCAGATTGAGCAGCTGAGAGTGAAAAAACTTCTTAAACTGGAACTGAGCAGCTCGTCTTTCCAGTTCCAAATTTCCCAAGCCGCGCAGCACCCTTATTTTGCTTTCCTTACCACACTCAGTGACAATGCATATGCCTAAACTTTACTCTTTTTTTTTTTTTTTTGAATAAAATTAACAGGTTCAATTTCAACAATGCTGCAGTTCAGTGTGAAGTGAAAATTCAAGTCCTCAATTAGCTGCACAACTATAACCAAAGCAAGAACATAAAAACATATTGTCTATATATAGATATATTATAACCAAAAGTAATAAAAACCACACGATCCAGCCAGACATACACAAAAGGAGGCATAAGACAAGTAGCTAGGATGGCTCTTCAGTCATCGCCATCATCAGAATCATCAGCACCCTCTGAAAATTTAAAGGGAGCGTAGGCTTTGAGGTATTCTTGATATCGTAAGGGGGCGGGTTAGCAATTGCAGTCCAGGCACTTGCAGCACATCCAGTTCCAGCTGACGAGTTTTTACTCAGTTTCCCCTTACTGCTCACTTTATACAATGCAGGTCCCTACAGAAAGACAAACCACCATAAAACAAAAAACAAAAAAGAGCTTTGTAAATTTTAGATTTACCGATTCACCGTCCCACCCAGCGATCAGTATTAACTGTCATCACTGTCAGGAAAACAGGACAGAAACTCAGACACCTCACATTGATGCTTCAGCAGCAGAAGCTTTTCTTCCCTCATCTATTCGTCGAATCCATTGTTGATCGGAGCAAAACCAACAAAATCAGTCTGAAAACACGAAACAGAGTTTGATATTTATAAAATGATGATGTATATTTGTGGATTCTTAAAGCCCTAATTTTTTCCCCCAAAAAATATTCAATACCATCAATTTCAACTTTATGGAATCTTTTTGCAGTAATATACTTTTTTTTAATATGAAAAATACACGTAATATGTACTAGTAGTCTAATCTATACCTTCTTTTTAAAGGATGAAGTAAGTTAGCAAAAGAAATTCATAAATCCTCAATAATTAATTTTCACACGCAAGTCCTCACTAAAAGATCAAACATTTACTCAAAGAGCGGAGAAACATTTTGAAGCCCAGATCGATAAAAACAAAACTCTACACAGCTGCAGCATAACCATTTCCAAGTGCTAAATCCTACTGAAATCTATTTGAAGGAATTCTATAGAAGATAAAGAACCGAGGGAGAAAAGGGATTAAAAAGATGGTATTTTTACCAGCAATGGCGAAATCTGCAGGCCAGCAATGGCTGAAGAAGAATTCAACTTCACTTCAATTGCTCTCTCACCTCAAGCAAAACGCTTCTCAGCAGTGGCGATTCCAGAGCATTCGAACCCTTATCTTGCAATCGGCTTCTGATTCCGTCAAGCTCCAAAAACTCTCAGACTCTGACTCTGGTAACCCCCATGTTCTTGATTTTTAAAATTTATTGAATTATTTATTCAAAGCTCTGAATCCATCGTCTTCTTTTTCGCAAGTCCTTTTCCTTACAAGATTTCGTTTGGGAAATTATTTTTGCTGGTTAGTTGGGTTTTCGGCAATTTAGTTTTTTCGTTAATTAATCACGAGGTATACCCTAGGCTTTGTTTTGGTTGATCCCGGTAAAAATGTAAGATGGATAAGGAATTTTTGGTTTAGAGTGAATTTTTTTCTTTATGTTCAATGACTAATCAAGTCCAAGCATCTTCTTACTTGCAGGAATTGTTGAAGTTAATTTGGATAGGCCCGCAGCTAAAAACGCCATAAACAAGGAAATGTTATATGGGTTGCAGGATACTTTAGAGACTGTTTACAGGGATCCTTCAGCTAATGTTTTGATGATCTGCAGCTCTGTTCACAAAGCATTTTGTGCTGGTGCCGATTTGAAGGTGGAGTTCAGCTTCTTATTTTTTGTATACACAGTAATATGATAGTCCAGAACAAGAAACAGTATGAGGTGTTTTAATGTCCATTCTAAGGTTTTCTTAGTTCTGAAGAACAATATCCATAGTGTCGGGTTTTTTTTGCATGAATTTACAAAAGACTATAGACTGATGCCTTTAGCAGAATTTCTTCAGACAGTATATGAGTATAACCTTGTACAGGGACTATTGAAATGCTGGATCATATGTTGTGGTCACCTGTTCAACTTTATGTAGTAATTGATTGTTTCTAGTTTTAGCTGTGGAATGTTAGTGTTATGCCTTTCCAGTTAGAGTTTCTTACCAGCTCATTTGCTCTCTCAATGCTTACTATGTCTCCCACGAAAATCTTCAGGAAAGGAAGACAATGACTGCATCTGAAGTTCAGGATTTTGTAAATTCTTTGCGTTCAACATTCTCGTTTTTGGAGGTCTGTATTTATTGTTTTGTGTATTGCTTCTAAAATATTTCTTTCTGACGTTAAGCCATATTAATATGCTTCTAGTAAATGCTTACATGACATGTTTATTGAAAGTATGATGGCAACATATGATCCATATAGCCAACCCAACCTAGTGGGAAGAAGGCTTTTTGTTGTTGTAGCTAATGCATACATGTGTATCAAATGCATTGCTTAGATTTTCTTCTTGAATAAGCATTTGTTGCTTTCAGGGGCTTCATATTCCCACAATTGCTGTAGTGGAAGGTGCAGCATTAGGTGGGGGCATGGAGATGGCACTATCATGTGACCTCCGTATATGTGGTATATTCTTTTCTGGTATAAATTTCATTTCCTGCAACTGTAGTATTTACTCTTCTGAAATTGTTTTTGGTCATTAACTGATGCAGGAGAGGATGCACTCTTTGGCTTGCCAGAAACTGGTCTTGCTATAATACCTGGGTGTGTGTTCCATCTGTTTTAGTATCGTATTTTCTTGAACTGTTTTGGTCTGTATTCTACGTTAAAATTCTTAATAGATTGCACCATCTGAAATCTCAATGTTAAATTTTTTCAACGTTCTTTGGTGCATCTGTATTGTTGAACACCTTTTTGTTGAGAAAACTGTATTGTTGAGCACTCTTATTATTGATAACTTGAGTATTTCCCATCAATATGTCTCGATTCTTTTATGGTTATTTTGAATGGTAGAAACACTGTAATTTCTTTCTTATCGTGAAATATTAGCCTTTTGCAGGGCAGGTGGAACTCAACGGCTTCCTAGATTGGTTGGTAAATCAATTGCAAAAGACATTATATTTTCTGGCCGGAGCATTGGTGGTAGAGATGCAGCCTCAATAGGTATTCTAAACTAAGCTACTGTTGTGGGATTTTGTGGACCTGGGATGACTAAGACTTGATGTAAATGCAGGCCTTGTCAATTACTGTGTTCCTGCTGGTGAAGCTCGCATAAAGGCACTTGAAATTGCACGAAACATAAACCAGAAGGTACACATGTTCTTTTTATGTCAGCCTATTTGGAGAACAAAATAAGCAACAAGATTCACATCATCTATGATCATAATTTAATGTTATCCTTTGGCGCATGTCTTCTGTGTGATAGCTGAGTTGCTATCACACAAATTAAGTACGAGGTCTTTGGTTAAGCGAGAAGTGAATCGTGATCTAGTGCTTGCAGTTTTTCATGCACACAAATTTGAATATTTACAGCTAAAAAATAACTACGACCAGAGCAATAAAATCTGCCAACTGTAATATGCAAATCTTAGAAGATTTGCTGATTCTTTGACATTTTTCTATTTGTTTCTTCATTTGTATTTTGTGGTTTTGGTGGTTGGTCTTAACCTGTCAATACTGGTCTACCGTTGTTTCATAATTCAGTTGGCATCCAACTTGTACTACACTTTTGTCCTACAAATCTTAATGAATATTTCTTTCACTACCATGATAATTCAACCATTTATTTTAGATGAAAACCTAGGCAAGGAAGGGATCTCCAGCTTTTAATTCTTGTTTGGTGCTACTCATACCTCCATAATCTGTAGTCTTTTTTCCCACCGATCGATGCTGTATAGCTTTGAGGTTTAACGACTCGAGGATTATCTTCGCAAGCCTTTAGTCAATTATGGATGAAAATAGGTGCCTGTAGAAGTTGAAGTTACTTGATAAATAAGTGCAGTCACATGTACTTGTAATCTTCATCATTCAACAACTGTTGGTTTAAGTACCCTCGGTTAATAATATGGTGTACAGAGCTTGCACTGGCTAGAAAAGCCAAACCACTTGAAGCAACAGGGACCAGTTTCTTCGTACATTAGATTTTATAGCCTAACTAGCTGCAAATATGATGATGTAGGTTTCGTGAACAACTAGATACACTATTTTTGATGCTTTCTCTTCCAATTATGTCCCATAGAGTTGAAGGCTTTTTGTATTGATAATCATTATTTCTCCATGAGAAAATATTTCTCAGACTGTTTTGAACATGTGAAAAAGAAAGATTGGCTGGCCGCGTACTTAGCAGTGCAGAATTTCGAGACTTAACTAGCATGCAATTCTCACTGCAGGGTCCACTGGCGATAAAGATGGCAAAACAAGCTATTGATGGGGGCGTTGAGAGGGACCTGACTTCGGCTCTTTCGTGGGAGATGGATTGCTATGAGAAGTTATTGTATACAAAAGATCGTTTGGAAGGGCTGGCGGCATTCGCCGAGAAAAGAAAGCCTGTATATAAGGGTGAATAGAAGTAAAGGAGGATGGATCGCAGAGAAACATAAACATTGAAGTGCATGTAAAAACCAGAGAGGATTCATGATTTGCAGTTCTCGCGGCACTCTTTATGAACCCACATTAAGATGTTTGTTGGTTACTTCTACTCGAATCTGGTGTTTCAGCCTCTAACCGCAGCTCTGCCCCCATTGGGGTAGCTTTATAATTAGGCCTGCGTTAATGTATCTCTATTTTCAACACTAAACAACAATTCAGGCAGGATGCAAAAATGATCTCGTTCGGGGGATATAAAAGGCTCCGTCGAGAGGGACATCCATGATCATATATAATGAACTTTCTTCCAACAATTTGATCCTCTCCCACATTCACGTTCACGCCCGGAATGCTCCATTTTGCCCAACAACGTAAGGTTTCTCGATGAAAAGGATTATGGATTTGAGAAAAATAGAAAGGCGAAAATCTTTACAAAAATTTTAAAAATAAATACCAGAAGAACTACGCAGCCATTCTTATTACAGTATAAAATTATTGCAATGTTAGACTCGTAGAAGAGATGGAGACGTGGCATGTGTAGCCTTGACAGAATTTTGAATTATGACATTTGGCACACTGACCATTATTATGTCGCAGCGATATAACAATAAAAAAAAAAATAATAGTAGAATTTGTGAAATGGTTATATTTATATTTGGGATGATGATTAGCAAAAGAATAATATCACTAATTATTCGACCCCAAAAGCCACCCCTAAGGCTCCTATGTCTGCTTCCTTCTTTCAATGGTTTTTTTTTCCTGTATAATATAATAATTGTTTTATTCCAGTACTTTTTTACATTTCTAAACACTTTTTTATATTCACAATACAAAGAACACCTAAAAACACACTAAAAAAACGAAACAAACATATCCTTAAAGTTAAGAAGTTCCTGAAATTTGTCAACTGAGATCAACATTCAACACCCATTTTTTTCTAATGTTGTTCTCGAGATCATATGATCGCATATAAAAAATTAGAGAAAATGGAAAATTAAAAGACTGGAAGAGGAATCACTCTCATATTATCATATTATCGCAATGAATCAACCGTTCATCACTATTAAAAGAAAGGAAATTTAAAAAGGAAAAAAAGAAGAAGGGAATAATCAATCATAAGTTCATCGGATATGATGTCAGTCGATGCGACATTGTGTTGAAGTGTCTGACGTTGAATTGTCCACAGTATCATTTGATGCACTCGTGTGGTTTGTTTGACAAGTCAAGCGTCAAAAACATCATCACACACGAGTGCCAAAGTCAAACTTATATGGATAAAATTCCTCAATCAAGTTGAATGAAATAGTTTTATATCCTATGGGTTCCCTTTTGACCGTACAGTTGTCTGAGTCTAAGTTTTGAGTCCAGAGCCACTGAACGAACAACAGAGGGATCACTTTTGGCCCATCTTTCTCATCCCCGTTTGTTTTTTTATTCTTCTCTCGAACCTCTATAGCTGCTGCTGCCAGGCGATTTCCCGAATCACTTTTTAGTTCACATTGAGTTTCTGAGTGTTGTACTGTTTTTAGTATAAATTTGAAAATTCAACGTGAACTATTTTTTAGAAAAAATGTAATATTTACAATGTTCTTCTTCTTTTTTTTTTTTTTTATTTTTGGATATGTTAGTGCCAAAAATCATCATTACGACTGATGACGTATATATTATTCTTGAGATTCAAAATTATTGCAACAAATATCTTAATTATTTAAGTTAAAAAATGTATCTTCATCGTTTGTATTATGTGCTTGTTAGTACCATTCACACTTTTTTTTTTTTTATTTTTTTAGTGAAAAAGTCGTTAATGAGACTAATTCAGCTAGCAAGAATCTTGGTCAATAATTTTGCAGTTAGCTGGTAGAACAAGTTCATCGTAACCTAATCCTCGTATTATCATAATTAATGCCGGCGTCCCCTTCCTGTCAAATTCACAAGTAATTCACCATTTACGATACAAAAAATTAAAGCCGACGGCGTTGGCAGAAATAATAGCCAATTATATTTGCAGACTATTATTCCTACTGTCTCGACAAAAATAATTTACACTGTAAATTATAAATTGTATAATGTATATATATATTTTTTTGGACGTGGATTGAATGAGCAATATATATAGTTATTAACTCAATGTGCCAATTCGCTAATGATATCCAATTTATTTTCACATTGTTGAACCATATTAAAGGGTTTACTATGGTCATAAATTCTCAAAAGCAGCTAGGTTACTTTTCAATGTTTTCCTTAAGACAAATTTCTTTTCTGTTCGCATTTTCGGCATCATGTATGTTATTGACTTACGGGACATAGTTAAGAAATAAGGGGCATAGATTGAAGAAAATATAATAGATGTCCCAAATTATGAGTTATAAATTGCAAAAAATATAGTGGTATACGGTGAAGTAGAAACTCGTCAAGCACTTTTAGAATACCATTGATCATAAAGGACGTACGTTGAAGGCCTGCTAAATAATGGTTGAACTGAGTGAGTTTTAGGTTTTTATTCAAACTCAAATCCTCACTAGCAACTGACTAAATGTTCAAAATTAACGAGATTTTAACTCCGCACGAGTCCAATGGCAATTATTTTGAGAACAACATTCAAGTCCATACTTATGATTAATCATTATTCATCCAATGCACCAATTTTCTATTTATTCTTTGTCAAATGAAATGAAGGAAAATTTTTTTTTTTTTTTTGGTCCCGATTGATTCTCGTAATAGGTGGTCATGAGAATATGAGACATGTTTGACCAGCATTCTTATGCCAAATTTCAGGTTGCTTGGGCCTTAGAAGGACAAGTAATTATTGATTGGTGGGTAATCTAAATTCTCACTGACATTGTGGATTCCGTATTCTGAAAAATAATTAGGTTCTGAAACTGGAAAACACAGCGGTAGTGTGTGATTGACCTTCTACGGTAGCTTATATTACGTGGAAAGTTAATGTGATTTGGTTGTGAACAAAACAAATGCCTTATTATGATTTACGTACGTCGGTATTCAGGTCGACATTTGCAAGATTGGATACATATATAGTTAGGAAAAGTAATTTGATTGTTGCAATGCTGCTCTATAACTTTTGCAAGAATTCCATGTGATTAGAAAGTAAGTACTGTGGTATAACAAACTAAACAATTATTTCAAAACAGTGAGAGTACAAAATTTTATAAGATGAACCCTAATTAAGTAATCACAAATATGCAATTATAATTTAAATGGAAATTCATGGACAAGAGAACAGAAGATATTTTTATCTTTTTTTTTTTTTTTCGGAGCAGGGGCTTTACTTTTTGTAAAATATTTATATATTTCCAACAAGAAATTCAAATTCAAACACACGAATGGTTTGACCATATTGTTACTTTATGCGCAGGACTTTGATTATAATTTGTAAATCAATAATAACAATAATTTAAATACGTACCTTCCTATACCGTAATATTCTGGAACCGGTAATAGATCAAACTCCTTCGATCTTCTCCCTCCGAACTCAAATCCGGGTGTGTAATGGGTGAACCGCAATTGATGATCGTATGAGTGGAGTGGAGAGAGGGTCTGATGATAAGTTTATCTTTTAACCTCGTTCATAGTAGATAATAGTTCAATATCAATTAGTTAATACGTAATTAATGTGGTCAAGAAATTATTGGAATGTAAATTTACAGTGAATGATTGACATTTCAATGAAGAAGTAAGAAGAGGGACAAGAAGATCAATGTTGCAATTATCAAATGAAACACGAGTAAAGTTAAATTGCTCAACAAATTTTATTTTTTTTTTGTCTAATTCAAATTCAAGGACACCATGTACAATATACATCATCCAAATTCATGATCATTTTCCTTACCAAAAATTTAGTGTACGTAACATTTTAGATCGCTTCGTAATATACACTGAATGAACAATGTGAAAAAAAGAATTGGATTTAAATTGACCAAATATTTCGTTCACCAAAACAGAGAACTCGACCCAACTTGAAGTTGATATTCTGCTTCTTCCCTTTCACATTGTATCTCCACCTTAGGCTCCACCATCTTCTTCCTCCTCTTTGGCGTCCCATTCTCCGACGATGAGGAACGCTCCGGCGATGAAACAGAGCAAGAAGACTTCCTGGACGTAATCCTAACCGGGTCGGGTTCACCTGAATTCACTCTCAAAGGAAAATTCAGCAATGCACGAGAACCCCGCATTCGATACGCCGCTTTATCGTAAGCAAAGGCGGCATCTTCCGCAGTCTCGTAAGTCCCGAGCCAAACTCTGGCTCCGTTCTTCGCCGGATCCCTTATCTCCGCCGCGAACTTCCCCCACGGCCGCCGCCTCACTCCCCTGTAATGCTTCCCTTTAGGTGGCACCACCCTGCAGGCTTCCGCCGCCGCCACAGCCCTTTTTGTTACCGGCGCCACCGCCGCAACAGTCACTTCCATTTCTGGCTCCACCTTGATTACACTGTTTAAGGCGGTCATTGAAACAGGGGAAGTTTCAGGGGATGATTCCCATTCTGTTTGAACGCTGCCTTTTATCATCGCGTAAAGGCCGGAATCAAATCCATCAGTAACCCAATTTTGGTGGGCGGATGGAAATAATAAATTGCTTACAAAAGGGTCCTCAATTCTTCCATAATCTGCCGGCGGTGGTGCGGCGGTGGTGAAGTTGCAGAATGCCGGAAGTTCAGACTCCCCGAGCAAATGGCTTCTTATGGAATCAAGAAGAGCTAAATCAGCCTCAAGATCACAATCATTTTCGTAAATCATTTTGTGGGATTTTGTTTTCTTAATCTCTTAATTTTTTTCAATTGATTGATCAAATGAAATGGGCGGGAAATGCTAAGTGGAGTAAGAAAACAGAAAAGAGAAAACAGAGTCGATTTTTTCAGCTGCGATGAATGGGAATGAGAGAAGGGGTTTATAAAGGGGTGAAATTGTACAGGAAGTTCATGCATCTTGGTTTTCAAATGGTTGGTTTTATTACTATTTAATAGCCTCCACTTTGTATTCTCAAATTTTCCATCATTCAAACTTCGAATTGTTCAGTATGTAGTTTATGGGAATTGAATTTCTGGGAAGGCCGAATTGGAGCAAGTGGACATAAATATATATAAACAATGATATAGGACATGTGCCAAAATTGAGGTTTGGATACTATAAAACCTTGATTTTGATGGTCGTAGTCGTAGGAAGAAAAAACTAATGGAAAAAATTACAGAAAAGTGCAAGAGAGAGAGAGGTCGTACGAAATCAACCCGTTTTGGAAGGTAGCGAAATTCTGTGTTTCAATTGATATCACAAAAAAGAGGCTTTATCAAGTTGTGTTTTTTGTTCTTTTCTTGAGACAAGGATATATTAATTTAATCAATTTCCATTGTTCCAACTTCCTAGCTTAGGCCTTAGACCCTAGATTGCATCTGGCGGCGACGAATCTATGGAATTGATTTTTTTTTTTTTTTTTGGGACAAAAGGTAAATTTGTATTGCTTCTTCTGATCATATCCAAACTGTACAAGCTGAACAGCACATGTTTTCTATTACTTCATGTACAAATTTTAACACCAATACTTTCCATGTACTATCGTCACTACTACCACATCTACAATAAATTTGTATTTTCCAGGAGACCTCCCTAATTATATTTTCCACTGCGTCCCTCCAAACTTCCTGGCATTGCGTTCTTGCCAAATGTGGTATACAACAACACAGACTGTTCCAAAAAGAATTCTCTGCTTGAGCTTTTTATGTCTCCAAACCTTCAGCAGTCTGCTAGTCTAGCTTTTGATGTTCCTGAGAGGGAGACTAATCCTCAGCCATTGCAGCAATTCTGTCATCACGTTCTTGGCATCTTGGCAATCAACAAACAGATGGTTTATATATTCAGTACCAGCTCCACATAATTCACATTGGATAGTCCCTTGCAGTATGTTCATTCTGTGTAGCCGTTCCTGAGTTAGTAGCTTATCCTTCATGGCTATCCAACATATGAATCCATGTTTTGGGGTTACATATGGACTCCAAACAATATCAGCCCCTCTGAATCTGATCTGTGGTCCCATTAGCCATTTATAACCATTCTTAGCATTATAGGACTTCCCACTACTGCCTTTCCGCACTCACTGCTGCACCCCTTCCTTCAATTGGTCCCTTATCTGCATCAATCATTTCCAATGCTAGCTGCTGTCATTAGGGACCTGGTATTCTCAGATTGTTTGCTTCTTGAGATAGTACATGTAGATCCATTTGATCCACAAACTTTCCTTGTTCATAGCCACAACTCATATCTGCTTTCCTATCAATAACCTGTTCTATATCTCAGGGTTCTTTATGTGAAGGTCCCCATCTGATTTTTCTTTTCATACCTCCTCCCAGACCACCAGTGACCAACGTCTTCCAGATTCTTTCTTGCTCCAAAGGAACTCTCTACATGTCCTTTCAATCTGCCTAATCACCTTCTTTAGGATTATGAAGATTCCAACCCAGTACGAATGCATGCTACGCAACACTGAATTAACCAGAACTAACCTTCCAGCATAAGATAAGTGTCGGGTGGACCAACATTTAACCTTCTTCACAACCTTGTCTACCATGGCTTGACAATCCTGTTCAGTTCATGCTACTGGCGAAATTGGCACCCCCAAGTATCTAATAGGGAACGTCCCTTTCCCGAATTCCATGATCCCATGTATTTTATAGGACTACTAATTCGGTTGGTTCGACTCGGTTGGAGTGAATTCGGTTCGGATAATTCAGTTTTTTTTTCATTTTTCTTCACTCGTCCGAAACCGAACCGATATTTCACCCCTCCTGAAACCGAACCGACCGATTAAAAAGTTAGGGAGATCGGGTCGGGGGCCGTTTAAACCGAACAAAAAGGCCAAACTTAAATTAGGCCAATTTTTTTTTACAGGATTTCAAATCTTGATTCCTGAACCATCAAGTATGGAATCGAAATCACAAGTTCAGAACACACAAATGCAAAAAAAACTGATAAAGAGAGGATTTCAAAAAGAAAAAAAATCACACCAGATGGAATGGAAATATGAATATGTAATGGTCACAACTCAAATGATCATACAAATGAACACACAAGTGATTAGTGATCGTCTACTCAATTGATCATCTCATTGAACTCATAAACGATCAACTTCAAGTTCATAACACACAAATGATCACAAATAGAAATGGTCATTATAGTATTACACATCACAAATTCTAGTAATCAAATTTGAATTCAGAACATTCTAAACAGAAAGCATCAAAGCTGCATCAACAAAAATACAGAATAGAATTGCAGGCAACAACAATTCAGTTGATCAGTTCAGTCTGCATTCTTTAATAGGCAACAACAACAACATCATTCTTCATTCAGCAACAGTAACACAGTTGATCAGTTCAACTTCAAGTCTTCAAGCAGGCAGCAGCAACAACAACCAGGCAACAAGCAACACCAACGGCAACTTTCAAAAAAAAAAAGAAATAGTTAGTCAGTCAGCAAAATTGAAGAACATGGAAGAAGAAAACCGAAGTAAAGTCTAGATTTTAGAACGTACCTATCACACCCCAGTTTTCTTTCCCTTTTCAACAGCTGAAAAAAAAAGAAACAAACAGTCAATCAAGTTGAAACTGCCTAGCTGAATCTTTAAAATGTAAATAAATAACTGAAACTGTAAAAACTGTAACCTTCTTTCATGTGAAGGAGCTCTTCCCAATTCTCTTCAACACCTTCTTCTTCAACTTCTCACCAAAACCAATCTTGAGTGCAAATCAAGCACTAAACAGTCTTTGGAGTTAAAGAACTTCTAAATGCATCCAACACCATGCCACTTGTGCTAAAACATGATTCCAAAGCCACAGTTGAGACGGGAATGGCAAAAAGATCACGAACCATCAGAGAAAGGATAGGAAACCTAAGGCTGTTCACCTTCCACCAGTTCAACAGTTCAAAACCTGTACAATTTGGTTCATCATCCTCGTTCAAAAACTTGTCCAATTCTGATTTTTCTATTCTGTTTATGCAACCACAAGCTTCTTCACTTTTCTTCTTCGCCAACTCCATCCTAAACTGATCTTTAAGCAGCTTTGAAGGCTTGATATCAATCAGAGAAGATCTTTTCCCCGATGAAGTTGCTTGAGAAAAACCGCAATCAGAATTGGAAGGTGTACTAGAACTAGGTTTAGGGGTATGGATTCTAACATAATCCGCAAACAAGTCATAAATGGCTGTTTTAACATATGCATATTTATTTTTCCCGTCCACTACCCCATAAACCCGTTGAAATACAACTTCAATGTATTTCAACTTATTTCTAAGATAAAAAACAGATGCCATCAAAACAGTAAGATTCATCAACGCAATAGAACTATGGTATTTATCAAACTTATCCTTCATCCTTTCAGCCATCATTTTTTGACCATTATCATCAGTTTCATTGATGATTTTCCTCAGCAAAACATCAATATGTACATCAGTGAAGAAAGAATCCGAAGAGACAGATTTTGTACGAGATACCTTTAAGGTTATCTCGTAAAAATGCTGAAGAATACCAGCAACCCTCCTAACTTCTACCCAATCTATTGAAGTAGGAAAACCAGGCCCAGAATTTGGCACTTCAGGATCAAACCTCAAAGTGTCTTTAAAGTGCTGATTTCCATTTTCGTATCTCCTAAAAGCTCTTTCGTACACTTAAGCAGTTTCTAGCATTAAGTATGTACTATTCCACATAGTACAAACATCCAATACTAGATTCTTAGAGCTACCACACTTTTCTATTTCAGCACATTTTTTAAAACTTGCCAATCTTTTAAGAGACTGCCTAATATACTTAATTGCAACCCTAAACCTATCAACAGACTTATCTATATATGTCAAACCATCTTTAACAACCAGATTCATCACATGAGCCATACAACGAACATGGAACCATTTAGCACCCAACACACACTTTTCTCGGTGAGCAAATTGCTCTTTCAAATACTCCATGGCAGAATCATTAGAAGAAGCATTATCAACAGTTATCGAAAACACATTTTCAGTTTCAATTTCTCAATCCATCAAACATTTCTCAATTGCTTTGCCAATATCTAAACCCTTATGACTAGTAATAGAGACGAAACTCAAAATTTTCTTTCTCAAAGTCTAATTATTATCCACATAATACCCAGTCAAACACATATAATTTATTTGCTGCAAAGAAGTCCAAGTATCCGTTGTGAAACAGATTCTACTAACATTTCCTTTCAGCTCAACTTTCAACTTTTCCCTCTCAGATAAATACAGTTTATTTTATTCATCAGCCACTGTTTGCCTACCCTTAGGCACAAACTGTGGCTGCAACTTTCTGAGAAAATATCTAAAGTCTTTGTTGTCAACAAACCTTAAAGGCAATTCATCAACAATTATCATGCAAATCATTGCCCTATCTATTTCTTCTTCATTATACCTCCAAGTACCTACACTACCAGGTTTTCCCTCCCCAGTTTCAATAAGTAACTTACTCTGACCAGGATCATGATTCAGAGATAAAGTACTTTTTACAAATGCGCAAATGTGCCTGAAGATTACTAGTCCCATGTTTTTTACTATTAGCCATATACAAATTACCACAATACTTACAATCAGCCCATAAAACACCTTTAGCATCTTTATGAGTAGTGAAGTGAGGCCATACCGTAGAGCGCTTACGAGTTAACCTGCGTTGCTTCGGCTTTAGAACCCTAGCAGCTTGAGCTTTAGTCCCCAGTTCCTCAATCTCTACATCTATCATCAATCCTTCATTACTGGGCGAATCCCGCAGAGGAGGAGACAGTGAACCTGTCCCAACTTCAATCTCCTCAATGTCCTCAAATTTAGAATCTAGTTCTGACATCTACATAGAAAAAAGGAGAAAAAAAAAAGCATTTTAGTTACCTACTACAGGCAGCAACAAGCATTTTACACAAAACACTGAAACAGATTGCAGAAGGTACAAAAAAACTTATCAAGGTACAACACATGTA